ATACTCATTCTTCTCCCTCCCTACACACACCCAGTGGGCACACCTGTTGTTATTAGTTGCTACCTAGGCAATTCTGACTCATTGTGGTTCTATGTGTATCAGGATATAAGTGTTCTCCATAGAGTTGTTAAGACTATGAATTTTTGGAAACAGATGGTAAGGCTGTTTTCCAAGGCATTTCAGAGTCACTTCAAATCACCAGTCACTTGGTGCGTAATCAAGCGCTTAATAATCTGTGCCACTACAAGCACTGTTGGTCACTTACTGGAGTTAACAATTTAAACACCAGTCTTCTCTTTCATTCTTTCCTTTTATTTTGTCCTTAGCCAATCCTGTCATGCAGGTCTTCAACATTTTTCTACCTAAGCTATTATAATACTTTCCTAACAGGTCCCTCTGACTGGAATATGTTCACTGTTGTTGTTGTTAGGAGCCATCGAGTTGGTATCGACTCATAGCAACCTTATGTGTAACAAATAAAGGAATGCCCGGTCCTACACCAACCTCACAATCGTTGCTATGCTTGAGCCTACTGTTGCTGCCACTGTGCCAATCCATTCTACTGGGGCTCTTCCTCTTTTTCGCTGACCCTCCATTTTACCAAACAGGATGTCCTTCTCTAGGGACTAATTCCACCTGATAATATATGTCCAAAGTGTGAGAGACGAAGTCTAGCCATCCTGGCTTCTAAGAAGCCTTCTAATCATACTTCTAACACAGATCAGTTTGTTCTATTGGCAGTCTATGAGTTGGAATTGATGGTAACCAGTTTAGTGTTTTTGGTTACTTGAAATAAAGTGATGTGTGGACATATTCTATCACTCCTCTGTCAGTTAGCCATACTGTGGTGGTTTGCATGTTGTTGTATTCTGGAAGCTATGCCACTGGTATTTTAAATACCAGCCTGGGTCACCCACGGTAGACAGGTTTCAGACGAATTTCCAGTGTAAAATAGACTAGGAAGAAGGAGAGATGGACTACTTCCAAATACTTACTCACCAAACCTTATGAATAGCAGTCGAACCCTGTTAGCACCAGAATACTGAATTTTAAAATATGATGAAGAACACCAGAATATTTTCAGATATAGTGCTGGAAAATGACCCCACAGGTTGGAAGGAACTTAAAATATGACTGAGGAGCAGCTGCCTCCTCAAAGTAGAGTTGTCCATAATGAAATGAATGGAGTGAAGCTTTTGGGACCTTCATTTGCATTATGGGGCACACCTCAAAATGAGGAGAAATCGCACTAAACATCCATTAATGATTGAAACATGAAATATGCAAAGTATGAATCTAGGAAAACTGGAAACTGTCAAAAATGAAATGGAACAAATAAACATTGATAACCTAGGCATTACTGAGCTGAAATGGACTGGTGTTGGTCATCACGAATCTGACAATCACGTTTTACTATGCCGGGAATGACAAAACGAAGAGGAATGGCATCGTATTCATCTTCCAAAAGAACATTTCAAGATCTGCCTTGAAGTACAGTGCTATCTGTGATAGGATAATATCCAGACACCTACAAAAGACCAGTTAATACCACTATTATTCAAATTTACACACCAAAAATGAATGCCAGTGATGATTAAATTGAGTATTTCTATTAGCTTCTTCAGTTTGAAATTGATGAAACATGCAATCAAGACGTATTGATAGTTACTGGTGATGGGAATGCAAAGGTTGGAAACAAAGAGGAAGGATCTGTAGTTTGAAAATATAGCCTTGGTGACAGAAACAATGCTGGGATCGCATGAAGGAATTTTGCAAGACCAATGACTTGTTCATTGCAAATACCTTTAAACAACATAAAAGATGGCTATGAACATGGACCTCACCAGATATAATACACAGAAATCAAACTGACTACATCTGTGGGAAAAGATGATGAAAAAGCTCCATATCATCAGCCAAAATCAGACCAGGGGCAGAGTGTAGAACAGCAATATACCTTTGATTTATTGACAGCTGCTTCTATGGGTATTGATTATGTATGGATCCAAGTAACATGAAATCTTTAACAACTTCAATCTTTTCTTTGTTTATCATAATGCTATTTATTGGTCCAGTTGTGAAGATATTTCTTTCATGCTGAGGTTTAATCCTTGTTGAAAGTCATAGTCTTTGATCTTCATCAGTAAGTACTTCCAGTGCTCTTCACTTTCAGCAAGCAGGATTATGTCACCTATATACTGTGGGTTGTTTTGAGTCTTCCTTCAAACCTGAAGCCATGTTTTCTTCATATAGTCCAACTATTTATATTATTCATTTAGCACAGATTGAATAAGTAGGGTTAAAAGATACACTGACACACACCTTTCCCAATTTTAAACCATGCAGTATCTCCTTACTTTGTTTGACCCACCACCTCTTGGTCTATGTACAAGCTTTGCATGAACACAATTAAGTGCTCTGGGATTCTCATCCTTCACAATGTTAACCACAGTTAAGATGCAGACAGTCAAATACCTTTCTAAAGGCAATAAAATACAGGTAAACATCTTTCTAGTATTCTCTGTTTTCAGTTAAGATCTAATGTCAGCAATGACATCCCTCATTCCATATTCTTTTCTGCATCAGACTTGAATTTCTGGTAATTTCCTGCCAAGGTACAACTGCATTTTGAAATTACCTTCCCCAATTTTACTTGCGTATGTTATAAATATCACTCAATAATTTCTGCATTCTGTTGGATTGCCTTTCTTTGGAAGAGGCACAATATGGTACTTTTCCAAGTTGGTTGGCCAAGCAGCTTTCTTACAAATTTTTTGACATAGACAAGTGATCATTTCCAGTGTTTTGCATATACTTGTTGACATATCTCAATTAGTTTTCCATCAATCCCTGTAGCCTTGTTTTTTATTAATACATTCAGTGCAGCTTGGACATCATCCTTCATTAGCTCTTGATCATATGCTACTTCCTGAAATGTTGAAAAATTATTTTTGGTACAGTGACTTTGTGCATTCCTTCTATTTATTTTTGATGCTTCCTGCATTGTTCAATATTTTGCCCACAGAACCCTTCAAAATCGCAACTAGAGGCTTAAATATTTTCTTCAGGTTCTTTCAGCCTAAAACATGCTGAGTATAGTTTTGCCCTTTGGCTTTCTAACTCCAGTTCTTTGTACATTTCATTATAATACTACATACTTTGTCTTCCATGCTGCACTTAAAATTTTCCACTCAACTCTTTTACTTCATTTTCTATTTGCATTAGCTATTCTCCATTCAAAAATAAATTTGTTTTGTCTGCTATCCATTTGCTATTTCCTGTCTTTTTAATGATCTTTGATTTCTCATGTATGATGTCCTTGATGTAATGCTACAGTTCATCTGGTCTTTGGTCATTGGTGTTCAATGTGACAAATCTTTGCTTGAAATGGTCTCTAAATTTAAGTAGGATATACTCAAGTTTATATTCTAGCACTCTTGGACTTATTTTAATTTTCTTCAGCATCACCATGAACTGGGTTATATGAAGAAAAACGTGGTATCAGGATTGGAGGAAGACTCACTAACAACCTGCGATACGCAGATGATACAACCTTGCTTGCTGAAAGTGAAAAGGACTTAAAACATTTAAAAGCACAACCTTTGGTATGGATTCCATCTCAATATAAAGAAAACAAAAATCACCACCACTGGACCAATAAATAACATTCTTATCAACAGAGAAAAGATTGAAGTTGTCAAGGACTTCATTCTTCTGGGATCAACTATCAACACTCACGGAAGCAGCAGTCAAGAAATCAAGCTATGTATTACATTAGGCAAATCTGTTACACAAGACCATTTTAAAGTGTTGAAGAGCACAGATGTCAGTTTGAAGACTAAGGTATGCCTGACCCAAGCCATGGTATTTGTAATAACTTCATATGCATGTGAAAGCTGGACAGTGAATAAGGAAGACCTTTAAAAAATTGATGCTTTTGAGTTATGGTGTTGGAGAATATTGAAAGTGCTAAGGGCTGCCAAAAGAACCAACTGTGTTGGAAGCAATGCAGCCAGAGTGCTCCTTGGAGGCCAGGATGGCCAAACTTCGTCTCTCCTACTTGGGACATATTGTTAGGAGGGACCAGTCACTGGAGAAGGATATCATGTTTGGTAAGGTGGAGGGTCAGAGAAAAAGAGGAAGACCCCCAAAGAGATGGATTGGCAAAGTGGCAGCATCAATGGGCTCAAGTGTGGCAACAATAGTGAGGTTGGCCCAGAATCAGGCAGTGTTTCATTCTGTTGTATATAGGGTCGCAATGATTTGGTACTGACTCGATGGCACCTAACAACAACAACAACAACAATGGTCTGTTCCACAGTTGGCCCATGGCCTTGTTTTGACTGACACTGAGCTGCTGCAGCATTTCTTTTCACAAAATTGATTCCCATGGTGATTTCCCACATTATTGTTAAGTGCCATCTAGTTGGTTCCAACCCATAGCAACCCTGTGTAGGGTTTCCAAGAGCAGCTGGTGAACTTGAACCGCCAACTTTGCAGTTCAAACAGCTTTGCAGTCTGGCACATTAACCCACAACATAGCAATATACCAGCCACCACATTCTGACAAACTGAAAGATGAGTGGAGGCACTATATCACAGAATGCAAATGTTTTCAAGAACTCCTGAAAACTTCACTGAAATCTATAGTTAAAAGGAAAAAAGAAGTAGTGTTTCATTTTAGCAACAGCATGTACAGATTTTAAAGTACAACATAGTAGATAATTATGTTGCGGTCGTTAAGTGCTGTGGAGTGGGTGCTGACTCATAGCAATACTGTATAGGGTTTCCGAGGAGCAGCTGGTGAGTTTAAACCACAGACCTTTCAGTTCAAACTGACCTTGCAGTTGAGTATTTATCATACAGCACCACACCAGGAGTTAATTCTTTATGGAAGTTAATTTCCTCATACAGAATACTTCAAGAGTTTTTCAATGCAGAGTGTTACATGTTCCTTTAGTGTATCTACTGGGAAATGAAGAAAAGCAAATAAAACTTACAATCCATGAGGATACCACCGGTGCTTAGTAGTAAAGAACATTTTGCTAAGTTGTTCTATCATGGGTCCTTGCTGAAGGGGCTCATCCTTTACTTCTAGTCTGGTTTTTAGCACTTGATCATGTGTTTCTTCATTATTATGCACAGGATCTGGTCGAGGGATAGCCTACAAAATAACAGCAATAAACAGCATGAAAATTAAGAACGTTCACCAGCATCTTATTACATTTACAATAACACGAGAATCATACTCAGTAATTCATTATAGGGGAGTAAATTATCATAACAGAGTTCCATGTAGTTGCATTATTCATAAAAAAAAAAGAATCAGAACATGTTTTTGTCTCACATCTAAGTTTTGGATTTTTTTCCAATAATAAAGTGCATAATATTTTAGTTCTCTTTTTCCAAATAATAAAGCTCTTATTACTTTAATTTTATTTCCCAGGAGCATAAATTGTGTCCATTATTACTGTTTCACTTAGAAGTTTACAATTCCTCCATAGGTGAAAAAAAATGAAAAACCTTTAATAAATGACATTTCTCATATGCAATGAAAGTAGGAATAATTTCAATGTCTTCATTTCAGTTGACTGAAATGTCATCAAATAATGCTTTGTGATACTTGACTGTTTAGTTTTGCCCCCCAGAGACACTGCTTACTAAGAATCAAATCTTCTCTCCAACACACCTGTGTGATGATACGGCATATTCCCATCCTTAAGAGCGGTTCACTAAAGTCTTTTCATGAGTCACTATCTTGGAGGGTCAAGTTACCTATATTTTAATTACTAAGTGGTAGTAAAGTCTGTGACATAACACAAGAATATAATATTGATTTGCTTTCAGAATTCCACATATGTATTATTATTGTTGTTGTTAAGTGTCATTGAGTCGGTTCTGACCCACAGGGACCCTGCACAGGGTTTCCTAAGAGAGACTTGTGAGTTTGAACTGCTGACCTTGCAATTCAAACTGACTTTGCAATCCAGTGCATTAACCCAGAGTGCTACACCAGGACTCCCACATATGTATGATGATAAAATGAAAATCGGAATTAACAACTAGATAAGAAACAGTTCAAATATAAATGTCCTGACTTGTGCCAAGATGGCAGACTAGGTAAAGGTACTACACAGACCATCTGTAAAGATACGTGAAACCAAATGAAAACAAAACAGAGATGAACATTCAGTAACCTTGAATTTCAGAGGAAAGGTTAGAGAAGTAAATTGAGTGAATGCTTAGAGGAAAAGTTAAGCGGGGACAACAAGGGAGGAAGACTGACTGGTAAACAGCAGTGAGAGTGACATGAACATCTTGGGAGCAGTTTGGCAACACAAGGTGGCCTGACAGAGCAGACTCACACAAACACCCGCTGTTCCATGCTTCCCCATATGAACATTTCTTAACCCTCATTCAGAAGGGAAAAAAAACAAAACTCATTTGCTGTTGAGTCAATTCCAACTCAGCAACCACATAAGACAGAGTAGAACTGCTACACAGGTTTCCAAGGCTGTAGTCTTTACAGAAGCAAACTGCCATATCTTTCTCCCATGAAGCAGCTGGTGGGTTTGAACTGGAGACCTCACAGTTAGTAGCTGAGCAATGAACCACTTCGTGAGCAGGGCTTTTTTAAATATAGAAGAAGAGGAAAATGTGTTTTCTATTAATCAACAAATATTTATTGCTCACCTTTCAAGTACAAGGAGCTGTGATGAAGCAGAGAATAAAGTGCTGAGCTGATAACCAAAAGGTCAGCAGTGAAAGCCCACTAGTCACTAAATGGGAGAAAGCCATGACAGTCTGCTTCCATAAAGATGGACAGTTTGGAAACTCTATGGGCAGTTCTACTCTGTCCTCAAGGCACTTCCAGTTTAGTGGCAGGAGACAGAGAACAACAATAACAAAAATGCACACGCACACACTATATACACATATGTTGTTTTGCTTTTGTTAAGTGCCGTCAAGTCAGCTCCCACTCATAGAGACCCTGTATAGGGTTTCCAAGGAGTGGATGGTGAACTTGAACCACCAACCTTGCAGTCCACAGCAACCTTGCGGAGTCCTAGTGTGGCACCAGACAGATACACATATATCAAAAGTGGTAAATACTAAGGAGTATCAGGGTAGAAGTACCACTCTAAATGGAGTGGCCAAGAGAGGTCTCACTAGGTCTCAACTGAAGAAAGACTTAAAGAGCATAGGGGACCAACTACGGGGATTTCTGGTCAACAAATCATTCCAAGCACTAGAAAGAAGAAATACAATGGTTCTGAGACAGGAGCCTGCCCAACATAACTGAAGAACAGTGAGGCTGCCAGTGTGGGGCTAGTGGAATGAGTACTTAAAAACACAGAATGAGCCTTAAGACTAGAGAGAAGAACACAATGCTACAGGAGAGGAGATGGTTGCCACAAGTGAAGGGCTACAAAGAAAAAGCTGGCAAGAAAGCTGGACATATATGCAAGGAGTAATTATAATGCCAAACTTCAGAATCAAGGCTGAGTGAGCAGAGACATGAGACTGTGTGAGACGGATGAAGGATTGTGGGAAACTTGTTGGATCAATGAATGTAAGTCTCCATGAGAGGATAAATAATTCTTGGTAGTTAACTAGTGAGTTCTTGAAATTTTGTTTGGGAGAAAGGAGAAGCAGTTACAGATGATGATAAACTTGCAAATGTGTGATCATTGGAGTGAGTAACTGAGGTAGGGAGATAAGATCAGGAAGTGAGAAGCCAGGATATAAGACAACTCATTACATGGATACTAAAATAACAAAGAATTTAGGACATAAGCGGAGTTGGAGAATGAAGAACCTAAAATCAGTAAGGTACTGGTATGGGCTGCAGGATCAGCACTGGACTACAAACCACAAGGTCAGCAGTTCAAATCCACCAGCTACTCTTCAGAAACCCTCTACAGGGTTGATATGAGTCTGAACAACAGAGGAGCGAAGGAGAAGAAATGCCCTGGGAGTTGGTTAGAACAGCAACAAAGAAAGATGTTGTCCAGTGAAGGAGGCTTCCTGCGGAGCCTCTGCAATACATAAGACTATAGGTGGAAGCCTGAACCACATCCAGATCTCCAGAGATGGGAAATTCCCACTTGAAAGGACAAGCAGACCAAC